TCAAAAAGTCCTCAGTCAAAACTGGAAATGAATGGATAAAAAAATGCTGAAGGGTATTTGCAGATGGGGATTCTTTGGTGTAGAATCAGAGGTCTCAATGAAGAGCGTGAGGACAGAGTATAATTTAATTAAGAGGGAGAAAAGAAGCTGAAAAGCAGGAGAAATTGCATGAGGCTTTCCTTGCACAAGCTACACTTTCTACAGCATACCTACATGGCTAACACCCAAAGCCGGTCAAAAACTCAGAAGAAGCCGCCCACGACAAAAAGCATGGTTCGTAGCCAAGCTAACCCAAAGAGATTGGGAACTGACCTGTAGCCGTACCTCTTTCTGTCACAAGTTTCAATGGGATCATCCGTAAGAACTAAACGCGCTTCGGGGCTCACAAAATCCCCTCTTCACAACCACGCAAAGCAAGGAAGTGACCTGAGCAATGTGACAGCCTGACCCTGGACAGGCAACCCCCAAGGACTTCTACAGCAACCGGGTCACGCCGGCTCTTTCGGTGGCCTTCAGCACTGAAGACTTTGCTGGAGAGCAGCGACCAGAAGGCAAGCGGACTGGTGCAAACCGTGGAATCTCAAAAAGCTCATTTCTCTCCCGTGCACAATGCATGCCAAATCTTAAAATTCCTGCAGCATTCAGTTATGAAACTACAATAGAAGAGAAAAACAGATGGCTAAAGCCTTTTGGAAAAAAAAGATTAAGCATTACTTCATTTCCAAAAGAGAAAGATGTATATTTGAAAATACAGAACCTCCTTCAGACCATACCCAATTGATACAAAAACAGATGACTTGCCTCATGGAAATGCAGCCTGTCTTCAGTTAAGGCAGCATACAAAAAAAGTTTAACCCTTTTAGAAAATCACGGCTCACTGTATTTTTAAGCAGGATTTAAAAGCAAAGTAGTTCGTACAGGAGATGATAGGTATTACAAATATTGTAAAAAAAAAAGTTACATATTTCTTTCTCTCTCAAGCAACTGCTGAATGGCAAATCCTGTAGAAAAGCCTCCTTGCACTTACCCTTTTCCAGTGTTTTTAAGCAGTTAGAACCTACACTCAGGTGAGCAGTTTTCTTGTGCATAAAAGCATCTAATGAACAACAACATATTAGGAACTTGGCAACCTCAGCTCTGTAAGTTAGGCCATTCTCCGCAGAAACCAGTCCATACTACACTTCAAGCCTCTGAGTCCTTGACTTGCAAGATACCACACAAAAACAAGGAAACATAAAAGCTATCCTAGAGAGCTCACGTGTTCAGCGTTAGATGCTCCAGCAGCTCTGTAAAACAGCAACCACAGCTTCAGGTCCGAGTACTGGAACTGATCTCTGCTCCAGAGGAGCATCTTTTTTTTCCCCCCGCCGAGCCTGCGCCCCAGGCCAGCCCTGGCTCCGTCGCCTGAACAGAGGCCCCCAGCAGCCGAGAAGCCCCAGGGTAGGCAGGAGATGCACACGGGATCAACAGGAGAGCTGGGCTTCTCCAAACGGGCAGCTGGGACCGGCAGGAAACCCAAAGGCATCTCAAAGAGCACCAGACACCAGTGTTCGGGCAACTGAAGTGGGTCCCTGCGCAAGTGACAGCCCTGCCTCGGCCAGCGATGCCCGGCATGCTCCTGCCCCAGCACAGAGCCGCAAATGCGGCCGGGTTTGTAGAAACCTAAGCCAAATGCATGAGATGATTGATTTCTGGTTTTAGTCAATGGTTTTATTTCTGGTTTTATCCTCCGCACTGAGGATAAGGACTAAATCAACTCTCTCCTACCACGCATGGTCCTTCCAGGTCAGGACCGCAGCTCACTGGCGAGGCTGGGTGGAAAATCCCACGCTGCCCCAGCTTATTCCAAGGGTAAGTGGAGGATGACACACTCCAGCACTGCCAAGCAAGCGCCTTTCAAAAAAAACCAAGTGCTTATATGATTAATGCAAAGCATGACGTTTTCTCAGCAGCAGGAGTCACTAATCCATATTAAAGACCAAGACTGCATTTATTTATTTATTTTTAGTGAAAGGCTCTAACTGAACCAACTGCTCAGTTTTGCAAAGGTACTGAGCGGCCACGATAATTAGGTCTGGGTCAGCAGGAGCAGCCAGAATGCCACAGAAGCAACTCAGTCCTGGTAATTACCCGAAAATAAGTTTCTTCTAACGAAACAGTGCCAACACTGGACACTCCATCACAACCTGTCCCCCCCTAACGCATCACCGATGAGAAGTGACCATCTGAGCGTGGCCATCTTTAGCCATGAGTAGGGACAAGAACCAGAAATTACAGAGAGCAGAAAAGGCAAGGAAAGGGAGTGTCAGCCTGTGCTGGACAAACGCTGCCGTACCTAGAGATAATCCTTTTAAAGAGCAAAGCAGCAACACCAGGGTGGCGGCGACTTCCCACACAGCCAGCGTAACTCCAGAAAAAAAGAGCAGGAGCTATTTTGAACACTAAGTTTAAAATAAAAAAAAAAAAAAAAAAATTCAAATCAATACGGGTCCAGAGGAAACAAAAAGTACTAAAGCCACCCAGAAATACACCCAAGGTTGCAGAGCACACACGACCAGTTACAAAAGTGTTCTGAAACACCAGTCATTTTCTGCAGAGTTAGCCAAACGCAAACCTAAGAGAAGATCGCGGCTCGCAGACAGGCAGGCAGCCTGTTCTGGTCAGGCACAGTCCTTGCTCACAGACACAGCTCCGTTCAGCGTTCATGACTGCATTGTCATTTATTTTAAAATATGAATGGAGCATTCTTTTCCTCCAGAAACACCGCATTGTTAAAATGCCAGTACATTAAAATAACTGACTGCTTACTACATCTCGATCAAACAAACTACAGACTACAGCACTGACACTTAATACATATTGAGTGCTTCCAGCAAGAGCAGCACATGGAGCTCATTTCTTCTGTTCTGTGCTCACACGGGCCAAACTCAGAGACAAGCTTCAGAAACAGCAGCAGCGATCCGGCAGGCGCGTGCAAAAAGGGTATCTTCTCCAAAGTTAAGGAAAGACTTAATTGAAGGTTCTCCAAATAGATAAACATTTACTCTTTTGTTCCATATAGGAGTTCCACTTATGGCAGAAATACTGTATTTCAGCTTGCACGCTTAAGGTTTTGTTAAGGTTCTCCAAACGAGAGGAAGCAGAACAGAAAAGCCTACAATCGAATGACTGTGAGAGGGATGTTTTTTCCCTATTGTTACTTTTCCTAGAATTCATCCACATTTCACCACCATACTGTTGCTCTGTCATAACCAACACAAGCACTGATCTTGCCTATATTTAAATTCAAGAACATAAAATGAAGGTTCAGAAAGACAACCTATTTGTAAAAATCTGAGGTTTTGAAAGGCTGTTCCACTACTTCACACACAGGCATTTTGCTAGGTGGGCACCGTAGTTTATGATTAAACAATAAGCTAATTGTTTCTAAAATAACAAGATTGTTCACAAGAGAACTTTTGTGTGTGACTTTTTCTTAAATGAAGTGAAAGTTAGCTGCGGATCCAATCTGAACATTCCCCTGCAGCGTTCATACCTCAGGGCTGAAGCGTTCTGCAAATTCTCAAGCAAGGAGTGAACCAGAGTGAAAATGAAAGCCAAAACAGGCTGGTTTATGCAAACAAAACATAAAAAGTAATAAACACAACTGCTGAAATAAACCTGATAAGCCAAAATTACTGTGGAAAACTCTTTGGCCTGAACTAGACAGTAGATCCCATGAGATAATCACAACAGCTTCTTTCAACTTTTAAAATGTTTTCATTTGTAGTTTATTCTGTGAAAGCAAGCTCAACTTCCCAAATTATTCTGTTTCTTAATAATCTTTCAAAACACTTTAGGCAAGAAGATAACTTGTTTAAAAAAAAACAAACCCTTTAACCTGACAGTGTTCCTTTAAGAGAGCAGCAAGCAGCCTTCCAGCATACTTGACAGAGACATCCAACTCCAAGAGACAGAATTTAAATTTGTAGAGGCAATTACTCATAACCAGTGAAAGCAGCCAATGCAAGTGCCAAACTTGCCAACAAGAAGAAAGGCCAAGTATTAGAAAGGAGGCTGCAGTTTATTACGAGGCCATTTGAACATCTTGGTCCAGGAGGCCTGGAGAGTACTTTCTTCATCCCCTGACACTACAGGCTCACACTAATGTGAGGCATTATGTCATCAATATTCCAAACTTATACAACAGCACTTAAGTATCTGTATAATGGAGACCTTTGCCTGACTATTTAAAAGCTGCTTCTAGTCTTCCCTAGCAGATTTATTTAAGATTTATATGCACACGAAGCAAGATGCACCCGACCCATACCACTGACTGTTAACTGCTGTCTAGTCAGCTCCAAAGCCACCCAAACGGACCACCGCTGCACAAGATTCTCATCCGACTAAACAAACACCTTAAGACAATTCCCAAGGATCTGTCTCTTCCCTCTTCCCATAAAAAGATGGAAAGCAACAAGGAAAAGAAGAACGAGAGACAAGATACATTCAGGTAAAAAAGTCAAAGTCAAAATGGGTATCCACCCCAGATTAAAACACCACCATCTTCAGGACTGACCTCAAACACCTCAGTCAGCTAACAACAGCGTCAGCAGATAACACTCAGCACCAAGAGTTGAGTTGGAAGTTGGAAGAGAGCTCTTGGAAAATATTAACAAAAAAAACAACACCAAAAAATGAACAGCCAAAACCACACCACTAAGTCACAGACGCTGAGCTAACAAATGCACCATCCTCTGCATGACAAAAACAACGCCAGCTAAGAAAATCAGAGTACAGAACAAAACCAACAGGTCCAAGAGAAGTATGCAGCAAAGTAAGCACTCATCAAGATGACAAGCATCCCCCGCAGCTGCTTCTGCAATGGGCAGGCAAGAGAAAGCAAGGGGACGTAAGACCAATGCACGCACACCAAACAATACAACATGAGCAACATCCTTCCTATTTCAGCACCAGCAACTTACTCCACCATTTGTACAGCAACATGAGCTGCTTCTTACCATTTTTTGGTGCACTCGACCATCAACTCCTGGTAAGAGGCCACAAACTGGAACTTGGATGCATGTTTCCCAACACGCTGCAGTCTTTTCCAAACTGAAGCCATGACGGTGAGAAACACCAGTCCTCTTATGCAGTAGCAACTCTGCGAATACCAATGTAGGTTTAAGAGCGTGCGTGCTCGATGCTAGCAGATTTATATACAGACACAGTAAAAACAGTGCGCGAGGAACTCGATGGGATGTCTACAATTCATATTCTGCCTCTCCCTTCTTCACGGTAAATCCCAGTCGAGCTGAATGGCTCATCACTGGCCAGGAGCAGCATGCAATGGGAGCAGACAGGTAATTGAAAGGAAGTTCTCTCACGGAATCATCATTCCTCACACAGCAGAGGATGTGAAGACTGCAGGACTGGAAGACAAATAAGACAGGGGGAGAAGCATTGGTTAACACACTCCATACTACAGTGCTGCAATTGCACGTGATCTCGTACCTTTCAAACGACTACAATAAACCACAAAACCATACCCCCTTCCTGTTGTCATCCCCCTCCGCCCCCCGAAATAAATAAATAAGAATGCTGCAGCAATTTCAGGAATGCAAACCACGAGTCTGTTTGGAAACATATCAACATGTCCTTTTATCAGCACCATCACAATTGGCAACAACAACAAAAAAGGGCAGGTCAGGGCCACACTGAATCTTACGAAGCATCTCCGGGAAGCGATGCAAAGTGGCTGAGGTGCTGCCAATATGCACCCAGAGGGAGGGACACAGGGAGATGAAGACAAGTTCTTTGTCTTGATGACAAAAGGTGTAACAGTTGTTTCCTCTCACACACGCACACCTCCCGCTCCCCTTTCTCTTTCCAAGCAGAAGGAACAGCCAAGAAGCCGGCAAGGGAGTGTGACTACTCAAATGCCCGTGCCAGGGCGAGGAGGAGGATGAAAGAGGAAGGGGCATCTCCTGAGCCCTGGCTGCCCAGGATTCCCCATCTTCCTCGCTGCATCATATTGAAATGCAAACGTCTCTCCATCCTGACCCGAGAAACGCTCCTCAGGGAGGTGAAGAGGGAGAGGAGAAACGCAGAGGGGTCTTCTGCCTCCAAAGGAAAGCAGCATCGCCGCTGAGGCGCAGGGAAAAGCCACTTCGTTAGGAACATGGGGAAGCAAAAGGTGGCCGCACCTGGCGAGGAAGCGGGGCAGGATGGCAACCTGGTGTCCAGGAACGTCTCCCT